AGACCATAACAAACAAAAATAATATTATATACGCATACCCCCCACCCCCCTTACAGACTGCAGCAACCGCCCATAAAACGCTGCAGGTTTATTTAGCAATAAAAATAAGCAAGTTAAACAATATTAAGAATATCAGTTCGACTGCTATATAATATTTCAATACTTTCATACTTAAAAAAACTTACATACTTATTAAAGTTCGTAAAAATGTAGTCGTGATCTTTCTTTTAATTTAAGCTTGCGTGTTAAAAATCAAGGAGGCAAAGTTATAATATATATTAATCTGCTATAGCAGTCATATAATTAATATGAGATGTATGATTCGATCTTTTTATCAATGTAAATGATAGACAATATCGACATTATGGATTAATTGAGACATAAGCTAATGTAAGAGTTGTTAATACATATAACCTACATTATTCTAATCGTTCTATTAATTAAATAGTTGATGGTGCAGAAAAATAATTTCAAATTAAAAAACAAAAAAGAAATGATTATTATCGAGTACATAGCAATATTTATAAATGAAACTGAGCGCGCTTAAATGAAAAAACAATATTTTCGTTTTTTAATATATCTTTTTAATGTACAAATAAATAATAAATTCCCGCTCTTTTCATCGATTTTCAATGAAAACAACTATAGTTGGGAGTGGGACTTTACCTTTACTTTACTAGTAAATAAAATGTTTACTGTTCACTTTTATAAAATTAGATATTGTAATTCTCATTTGATAATGTAATTATACATCGTAGCTAACAGTTGGTGTAACAGGATTCAATAAAATGCTTGTCTGTCTCAAGGTATCAATATCTATAGTTCGATCTATCAAGTTCTTCCATGACTTATTATGTTTCTTATAACCATGGGATGGACCGTTGTTCGTGTTTTCTTGTCATGCGACCTCCATCTTTTTCGATCATTGTAAGTATAGGTAGGTTATCATTTGCCCCAAATTGGTTACCACAATCAATCCCTGAATCAAAATTTCCAAATGAGGATTTCGATTTAGGGACTTTTTAATTTGGGATTGTTTTGAAATGAAATATATCATACATTCTGTAGTTCAATCGCATTCTTTTTCTCTTCCAAGACCATATTACCAAAACTAAAACTTTTGAAGTCATATGTGTTGAAGATGTTTAGTTTGGATTAGCTAAACATAATTAATTAAAGCAGTTTTCCTATGAATTTAGTGACCAGAATGTTTTTTTTTAGGGTACTACAAAAAAGAACTTTCAGATAGATCTGGTCACCAGAATATATTTTGGATTGCCAAAAAGAGAACTTTGAAGTAAACCAAGATACATTCTAGTCACTAGATTCATGGGAAAACTGCTTTAATTATGTTTAGCTAATCCAAACTAAACACCTTCAACACATATGACTTCAAAAGTTTTAGTTTTGGTAATATGGTCTTGGAAGAGAAAAAGAATGCGATTGAACTACAGAATGTATGATATATTTCATTTCAAAAAAATCCCCAAATTAAAAAATCCCTAAATCGAAATCCTCATTTGGAAATTTTGATTCAGGGATTGATTGTGGTAACCAATTTGGAGCAAATGATAGACATTCTAAGTATAGACTATACAGTAGAAACCAATTGGGTATCTATCAAATAATTGGTTAAAGATGTGCAATCTGAGAGCGATATACACTGGACAACAACATGTACAATATCTGTGAATCATAGAATTTCCAACCCTTTCATAAAAAAGACGATTTCTCTTCAAATGGCAGATGGTTAAAAAAAAGAATTGAAATATAGAACTGATTCCATTCTAAAACCTATATAATCATGAGTCCTCTGAATTAACAGTAAGCTTGTCAGTAAAAAAAGTCTCTCTTTCTTGTTTTCGTATATTTGTCATTTGTTAGAAAAAGAAAATGCCTGGGGTATGTTACTGTCTATGTAGCTTGATGAGATAAAGTAAATAGAAAATGTATTTACTAGTAAATATTTTATTTACTTTATTTACTTTTTGAAAAAGTAAAGTAAATACCCCACCCCTAACTATAGTTGACAAGAAGTCTTTCAGTATGTAGATGATGCGTCCGGTAACAAAGCTACACGTATACGTGAGTTCCACATTTTAGCTCCGCAGGAGCTGCGCTAACAAGCTTTTTTGTGTACTCAAAAAGTGAGTACACGCTAGAATCGGTCAGTATGTCCGGCCGGCCGTTTACACGATAGCTTTCGAAAGGAGAGTCTGATCATGATGAAATTTTCTATACAGTTCAGTCTTCACAGTGTCTCGGTCGAGTTCGAAGATGAGCAGGATCCGTCAAGAAATAGCTGAGTTATTGAAAAAATTGTCATTATTGATCGGACCATCCCTGAGGGGGGGGGTACATGGATTTTTTCAAAAAAAAATTTTTTCCTTCGAATTATTCATAATATATATAAATCAACTCAGTTTTTAACGCTGATTCCGAATCTGATATTAGTTTTGAACTGAATCGTAGCTTTCTAACAAAACATCTCCGAAAAAAGGTCTCAAAATGCATAAAAACTACATGAAGAAAGCAAATAGTCTAGATATTTATCAGATGATAAAAAAAAAGTGAATGCACCTGTTCACTTTTTGAAGAACACGTAACACTCGGATTTAAATCCAATGTTTTCGCATTTATTTTGTTTCTTTTTCATTATGAGAATAAGGGAGACAAAGCTCGATGAGTGCTAGTAAGAGAGTGGGTGACTTCTGTTCGTTGAGATTAGGATTACTTTCTATGAACGATTTTCGGGCAATCCTTAAAAGCCCGGCCAAGAACTGTTCTAATGTCCGTAGCAACACGATTGGGTTTCTAGGCTCACTGACATGTGTTACCGTGTGGATGCATATGGACGATGTGAGTCTTCCCACGCGTCTACGAGCATTACGTTCGCTGTGGTACCACCAGGATGGTTCCTGGTCGCGCGCGAATAGAACAGAAAAGGAAAAAAGCTCGTTTCAATCAATTAACGCGAATTTATTTCGAAGTGACAGGAAAGGAAAGAAAAATCACTTGCAATGAGTTTATTTCATAGAAAAACGTTGAACACGAGCATTGTTCCGATCAGCGACATAGAGATTGCCATGTCGATCGAGGGACAAACCAATGGGATGATTTAATTGATTTGCTCTTGATCCTTCACCATTTCCACCCACAATGACAGTGCCTTGTGTTGCTCCTTTCGGCCAACGCATTACTCGATGATTCCCTGAGTCTGTCACGTAGATGGTACCTAACGCATCGACGAAAAGTCCACCAGGACGACACAATTGTGTCAGATTATTTCCTTGGCCATGACCTCCAGCAACGACGATTCCTTCTTTTTCACCTTTAGTCCATTTGATTACACGATGATTATCTTTGTCTGACACGTAGACGGCCTGCTGTTGATCGACAAAGATGAAGGTCGGATAGTTGAGTTGATTGAGATTGGAACCTGTTCCATTTCCACCAACCACGATAGTTCCATTCTCGTCTCCTATTTGATATCGTCTTACTTCCTGTTTATCAATGTCAGAGACATAGAGATATCTCTGATCATCCATGGCTAATCCATAACAACCGATGTCGTCGATAAGAATTTCTCCTTGAGTTGTATCACTACGACGAGACCATCGTACAACTCGTTCATTGTAATGGTCACAAATAATGATACTATCTGTCTCTTTGTCGATTAAGACATCAGTTGGAAAATACAAGTGATCTAATGCACATCCTTCGCCTTTCTCACCAACTAAAACTTGTCCATTCGTATTACCTATCTTCCATTGGATGATACGACTATTAATAACATCAACAATGACCAGTTTTTGATCATCATCAACGAAGAGACCACAAGGCATGCTGAGTTGATTGGTGGCATTGCCCCGTCCATTGCCTCCAGCAACAGTCACTCCATTCTGTTCCCATCGAGCATTCAGTGGAATATTACAAAGCACTACAATGAACAAGAGAGAGAAAAAAGAGTACTTAGTAACGTTCATGATATTAAAAATCGTTTTTTGTAGCTTTTTTATGGAAAATTTTCAGGATTTCGGAAGCAACACTTATAAATTACATTTCTTAATATCGAATGGTGAATCTTAATGAAATAACGAATTTGAAATTAGAACCTTTCTAGACTATTTTTTCAATCAGTTTTTTAGTTTTATTTTATTTATCTCAGTATTGTCCGATTTCTGTGAATTCTCAACCCTTGAGCCATCCTGAATCCTTTAAATTCTATAATTTAAACCAACATAGGGTCAACTTCGAACAAATTGAAAAACAAAGTAGAATTCATCCACAAGGAAGTCAAGAAATCCAAGGAATTGAAGGATCTTAACGAACTCAGGGAATTCAAGCATGTGAAGGGTATCAAATAATCTAAGGATTCCAATGAATACAAGGATCTAAAGGATGCCAAAGAATCCAAAAATTTCAAGGGATCCCAGGGAATTCAACGAATGCAACGAGCCCCGGGAGATCAAAGGATCCTGATGAACCCTATGTATTGAAGGAATTGAAGGATATGAAGGAATCAAAAGAAGAGAAGAATGCAAAGGAATTGAAAGATCGCAAGGAAGCCATGTTAGGCAAAGAGTGGAAGGATCTCTAGGAACTTAAAATTGATGGAGCTTTTAGTATCCTGGAAATTTCTTTGAGTTGCTAGAAATACGTTTAGTTTGTTGACTGCTAAGAAGTAGTATTGTGGGGAGCTATGTACCATAAATACAGTGATGTCAAATCTGAAACTCGAATTCAATTGAAATTTGAACTTTCAAGTTTCGACAATGAGGATCAGGATATCATGAGTGAACTTACAGAGATCGCAACACGCACAGAAGCGCGCAGTTGAGTGTGGAACAAAGAAACTTCTAAGGATCCGATACATAGTGTAATGTGGAAACTTGAAAGTTGAATTTTCAATGTAATTGAAGTTTCAAGTTTGATACTATTACAATCCAATAAACGAACCCCACTCAGCAGAACCTAAAGATACTTTCTTGGAATACTTTTGATTTGAAATTCCAGGAAAATTTCATCAAAGTTAAAGTACTTGAATTTCCTGAAAAAGAGTAACTTATCATGCCATCAAGGGCAGTGAGGGAAAAATTTCGCAAATCACAACGCACACGGAGTAGGAGGGTGTAGTATTTATTTTAGTGGGCTTGTTTTACTGTCTTATACGTCTGAAGTGTCCATATACATCCTATATGTGCAATTCCTTCTTATGCCTGAGATGCTTGTTCAACCTCCCATATCTCTTTCTCTGCCTCCAGTACGTTTTTATACCAATAATACATCGGACACATTATAATAATATTATTAACTTTTATTGTGCCTAATACTTTGACAATCGTCAATAGCTCCTGTAGTACTTATATCAATTGTATCTTATGGCTTATTTAAAGTACAGTGTCTTGATAACCAGGAAGTGAAAATGTATTTCCAGAAATTCAAATAAGTTTAGTCTATATTCAAAAATTGTGTCAAACTTAAGTTCCTAGAGATTTCTGCACTCTTTGCGAAGAATGAATTACTAGGATCGTTGCATTCCTTGACCTAATCGGATTCCTTACGATGTTTGACATCATTGGATTCTTTGGGTTCTTTAACTTCCTTGACATCCTTGCTTTTCTTGGATTCCCTATAGTTGTATTTGTACAGTTTTGGTATTTTTTGGATCCAGGGTTTCTCAAGAGTTCAGAATTCATGTAAATCGGACACGTTTCATTTCGGAGAACAAAAGTAGAAACACTTAGTAACGCTCATTATATGAGAAATAGTTTTTATTCGTAGTTTTCTATGGAAATTTTTTAAGGATTTCGGAAACTATCTCATAAAATTGGGGTAAAGAGGAGATCTGAAGGTTCTTTCTGATAATATAGAATGGAGAGCCTTGATGAAATAATGAATTGTATGAGATAGCAAGAAACTCGAAATTAGGATTTATGCTGGAGAATTTTTGGAATTAGGTGTTGAACACCATCTATATGCTCATACACGTTTTATAAGAATTCGAAGTTTTTCTCTGCTTTTAATATTGATTTGTTAGAACAAGCAGCTATCTAATCCAAAGTGCAAAAAAAGAATGAAATGAAAGTTGAGATTCATTTTTTCATAGAGAAGATTCAAATACCATCTATGATACTATAGATATCATATAGGTTGCAAGACGGTCAATCTCAGAAAAAAATTACTCTCTTGTATGTATGTAGGGTATTGATTGCTGTATATGGAATCACTAGAATGAACAAGAGAGAAAAAAAAGGTACTTTGTAATGCTCATGTTATTAGAAATCTTATTTTTGTAGTTTTCTATGAAAAATCTTCAGGATTTCGAAAACTACACATAGAAATTGTAATTCATAATATCGAATAGAGAATCTTAATGAAAAAAGACAAACTTCAAATTGGAATTTTTCATGAGATTTCTTTCAATGAGAGATGTTGAATTGGATCTACATATTCACGCATAATGTATAAGAATTCAACAAAATTTTTGTATTTATTTGTAAAAAGAACAATTTTTGAAATTTCATATTCCTTTCTAAAGGGAGAAAATTGAAATATTATATTATTTGAAAGTTTCATTTTCAATTCACCAGAATGCTACTAACACTACTTAGGAAGCGATGGACTTAAATGTAAGACTAAATATACGAGAATTCTGAACGTAACTTCGAGTCATAATTCCAAGTTCTTAAAAGTTTAGCTCGATTTGAACTTGAACAATCATGCTTGGGCTCAATTAAGCTCGAACATTTATATTCAAGTTCGATCCCTAAGACTCGACTTCAAACTCAAATGATTTGCGAACTCGAGCCGAAACATCGAGTTGAGTGTCATTCTGTCGAACTCAAACCGTTTGTGTTTAGGCCATGTTATGTGGGGCTCTTGAGACTTCATAAGAATTCTTTTGATGTCAACGATAATTTCTAATGTCTGAAATGCTAAGCTTTCAAGAAGAAAACTGCACAACACGAGATGCTAAGGAAGTCTCCATGCTTTTGATGGAACTTATTTTCAGTCTATAGCTTATTTTCTTATGATATAGAATGTTCAAAATAAATGGAAGTTCATTTACTATCCTCAAATCATATTTTATATATCTGCATGAAAGTCATTTCAGACTATTTTATTGTATTATTATTAGAAAATTATTATGCTAACTTATCACTGTTTATTTCATATTAGAGTGTTAAAACAAAAAAAAACATGTCTTTTTTCGTTAGATGATATAAATGTGAATAGTGTCTAATGGATTAATGAAAACAGTAGTTTGCGCTTTAGAAGATGCTATACTAGTATTTCTAGCATTTTCGATAACATAAATAGTTTTTATGCTTTAACCATTTATCTATATTTAATATTCATACAGAAGTTTAAAAAATAGCGAATTCTGATGTCTCTTTTGATCACATAATTCTGTAACTCATATGTCGCTATAAATCCTAAAAACATGGTTACTGTTTTATACGCAAAAAAAAATCAAAGGATTACTTGAGAAACAACTTTAATTCACTGTGTTGACTGCTTTTTTCTCATCTATTATCTGAAATAAAAGCGGTTCAAAGTTAGCAGATTTTTATATGATTCAACTCGCGACCAAAAGCTATGCTGCATTGGTTCCTAACGAATAGAAAGTTCTTTCACTATGTTGACCATTACCAAATCAATCTAGGTTTATTTATATTGTCGATATAATATTTTCACTAAAATATCGCATAACTCTGCAAATATACAATTAAGTGTTAGGAAACTACGCATATGTATGCAATTTTCTTAACGAAATATTGGCGAGCCTATTTATTTACCAAAATGATGACTACTTATTTAGATGTGGAATGATAAATTGGAATAGTTCAATTAAGTATTTAGCTAACCATTATTTTTTCAATCAAATTAGCAAACAAAAAGCTATTCATTTCAAGAAAAAAAAAAGAGAAATGAACGATTTCTCATAGCGATTTATTATCTTTTTTGTCAAGAAAATTCAGAAAATATTTTTGAATTCCACTTTCTCAAAGATATCTGGTATTAAACTAAAGAAGTAAAATGATCTCAATTTTATTGCATTATGCTCATCAAGTTAATCTATGTTAGAAAGTCCAAATTTGGCATCGCACTTTCAAAATTCTAAGTTTCAGTCGTTCCATGAACAGTAGGATATTCTAAGAAAATGATACTATTTTACAAATACTGGCGAAATGAACTAGAGTTTGAAGAGTAAAAATCTGATGTTAGTCTTTGAAAATTTTATATTCAAGCTTTTCATATGACTAAGGCTGTTGCATTACACATGCATGATGAGACCAAATTATGAAGTGGATCAAGTATTTACAATAGTTATAATTTGCATATGATAAAAAAACTTACTAAAACCAATAACAGGAGCGGATAGAACGAAATGAAAAAATAATAAAGGTAGCAGTATTCCTCTAAAACAAAAAATACGTTGTCCTAAATTTAATTCTTTTCAGAGATATTTTCATTTTTATTATGACAATGTGCTTTTTATGATTGATTCTCAGTCAGTATCTTTCCTGATTTTTACGTTTATTTGATGTTGAACAGTAAGTATCATCCCATGTTTCACATTATCCTTACTTTTGTTTAAATTCCTGATTCTTTTCAATTGCTGTCCTACCTATGTGCCTGATCCTGCAATATAGAACGCTGTGATTCCTGTAAACGTGCGTGCTTATTGGTATCTTCGAAAGAAAACCTGTATCCTGATCCTTTCTATACTCTACAGAATCACTTTTTTAACTATCGAATACAAATATTTCGAACAATCCAATAAACTATTTGAATTCTGCCACTAAACAGAGATGTCAACTTTAGGCTCCGTTCTCAGATACGGAAACTCGGCATGCGTTCCCGTTCTTAGAAACCACGAAATGCATTGTGTTTAGATACAATAAAATACACTCTTGTAAGCATTCTGAAATGTTGGGTAATGCTTATATATTTAGCTTTCAAAAGCGTTCCCATTCCCAGAGAACTGAAACGCTGATATCCTTAGTGATAACAGTGTCTCGTTTCGAAAATAAAACATTCAAACAACAATACTATAGACTTTCTCTATTTTATTTATGAATGTAATTTATTGGTTTTACTTTGGATCGGCCAAAACTTCTAAGACTAATTTTGACGATTGTATTAAATAGTTAATATTTAAACTTTTAATGTATAATAAATACCTAGCAGAAAGCTTCGCCTTCAATAATTGGTTAGACAACTGTATCTTGGATAAGAAAAAGTGCGCGAGTGTAAGGAAAATATACTCTTTTACTCATCAAACTCATACCTATTCATCCAGGAAAGAGTTCCTTGTTTTATTATTGTGAGTGAGATTTTCTACTAGGTGTTTATGCAATAGAATTTTCAATATTGACTACTTTATAAAATCTCAAAAACCAGGCTTAAAAATTTTGGTTATCCCTAAGTAATAGACTTTTATTAAAATAAAATATGATAACTATCTAATGATGCAGGTGGAAATTAATTTTACTCTCACAAAGACCTTCGTTGTCAATGAATGACGCTAATCTTAGTATGCAGATTTCGATTTCAAATGCCAAATGAAGTTTTCTATCTGAGTATTCGCTTTCAATGTCTTTATATTAACTACAAAAGTTTATACTTATCATTCATCATTTTTGCTACCCCTAACATCCATACCAATGTATTATGAAAACAAAACATATAACTAATGTAAAATCATCGACAACAGAACAACTTACTAGCCGACATTGAAACGCCTATTTTGTAATGTAAGTCTACAAGAGATACTACTTCGCATTTATAGTTGATGGTAACCGTTGGGCTTTTTCCAACATAGAATATTTACCTGAGTCACTCAAATGTGACTATTTCTATGAGACAGCTTCTTTTCTTTGCATTAATATGAATACATTTATCTGTTAGATATGATTGTCTTATTTTTTCTTTCTTTTTTTGTATTTGGAATTTTCCTAGTATAAACAAGAAAACTGTGAGTATTTTACCAATGCATTTTATCAATTTAAGAAGGCCAGTACAGGCATATGATGTCTTAGGCTAGAACTCACATTTTTTCTATCTCAATTTGCTCTTCGGCCGAGAATGTGAGGGTGTGTAGGTGTAAAATCAAACAAGAACAGACCGATCTATATTCTTCAAATAGAAATCAATCTGCTAATCTTAACTTTTGCTTTTCAGCAACCGATTTTATGTCAAATAAATGAATTTACATTTAACTAAGTTATTGTGCTGTAAAATCAAACAATATAATAATAGAATTAATGTGGATATACTTTACAGATGCGTTTTGTGTTATTATTTATTTAATAATTAAAACACTGCAGGGCACTACATAATAAAAAAAAGAAGCACAAAGCAAAAGCAAAACAAAGATTAAGTAATTTAAATAGTACGAAAAAAGTATGAACTTATCTCAATTGAAGTAAATAAGATAAATTCGATAAATGTAGTAACGTATAATAGTAAAGAAATGGAATATTACATTTAGAATTTGAATAAGGAGATAGGAAAAAATGATAATAAATGTATAATAATTACGTTTCTAGAAATAACAGACACATAAATGTTTAATAAATTTAACTAAAAATGAGGGGAAATTGGAAGAACTTTCAGGGGCTAGCAGTGTCCAAATTAGAATTAATTTAGGTATTTGACAATCAAAAGATAGTTTCTTCCATTTAAAACACATGTTCGTTAGTATAATGTAAGTTCTTTAATATAATGCCGAAACTGTCCACTTTATGATGTAATGATTTGGGTTGGAGTAATATATTAAAATACCATTTATATTATTTTTGTTTTCTTCTTTCTTATATTTAATGGCTATGAATCATAAATGTTATTATATGTCTCGTTGTATTATTCAATAGGGAAATTAATATTGATCAATTAATTAACAATATGCTATATTAACTTATTATATTTTTATTACCAGTTTATTATCGATAATATTGGGAATCAAATACAATAAATCAATATATCGATATATTCAATACTTTTCTGAGACTTCACTAGATATTTCACTTAATTATTGTTTTCTTACAAATGCCAATTTCTTGAATAGTTGTATGTAAATGATAAATAGAATTGTTAAATGTAACAATTTAAATAGTTGGATAAGATATATAAAAAATATTTAAAAAAATTAACTAAGATAAAATCATTGAACATTAATAAATTCTGCAATTGAAAGGCTTAATGAATTTGAACATATAAGGGTGTGGGGTCTGCCTGTGGCTGTGGGTGTGGGTGTGACAAAAGAAGAGAATGCATCCATACTCACACCCACACACCACCCCAATCCAATATTTTTAAGGCTTTCCTTATTGTGTTTATTGTGTGCAAATCTATCATCTTTCCCATGATTTCCAATAGTCAGAAAGTATCTTCTTACAAGGATCGTTTTACTGTACTCCCACATTTTATCTGGCATACCCTTTAGTACAGATCATTTTGTTCATTTTTTATCTATAAGTTTTCAACATCATCTTAGACTTTATATTTTCTTCGGTTTTTATATATACTTTCTGAAAAAACCTTCTAACAATAACAGTATTATTTCTTCCACCCGACTTATATTTTTCCGAAGAAAAGCTTGTTCATAGAAATGTTTGCATTAGTTATTTATATTTTTCTTTTCCTGAAAAATTAGCTGATTCAAATGATTTTTCTTTACTAAATTTGTAACGCTTCGGAATGGTCTTTTAACGATCGTGGCGTCATTTAATTTAATTTTTTATTTTTCTTTCCCAGAAATCTTTCAACAGAGATGCTTTTGCACACGTTTGTTAAGATCAAATATCCAATCCTTTTATCTCATTCATTTTCTTTTTGAATGAAAACAAATTTTACATACACAAAAAAAGGAAAATCAAAACTATTTATCTACCTCTGAAGGTGCTGTTTATCTTTAAGAAAAAACAACCAAGGAAAAAAGAAAGAAAATTAAAAGAGAAGAGAGGATGAGAAGGAAAGATACGTGGAAAGAGGTAACTAAAAGGAGTATGTATAAGAAGAATAATATGATCTTGTGTTAGCATAACACAGATCATAACAACCTTTCATTTTTAATTCTACGTCGCATTTGTAAAAGAGACTTTCATTATTTTTCATAGTTAATTTCCAAGAAACTTCTAATGACGCTGTTGCTATTGTTTGAACAGAGGTTTACACCTTTTGCTTCGGGAAAAAAAACATTATGATGAAAGCACCATTATTCTATATGCGTCTTTCTCCTTCGTAAAAGATGATTAAGCTAGCATAGTTTTTTTTTCAGAGACTTCTTACCGATTTTCTTTTTTCATGTTGCCGTGAAATTATTCAACGTAGAACCTTTTACTGAATTCTCATTTTTACTACTAGAAGTGTTTAAGAGTATCGAGTAACATTCTGGTGAAACGCAATGGAAAGGGAGTGCTGAAATGTGTCTGATTAGAAAATTGTATCCTCTCATAAAACGCATAGAAAAAATCCATGCGAAGGACAGATTATGAAGGTTTCAAATAAGTGATTTAGAATTTTATGCCTCTGAAATTTCATATCTGTAACATATCAATTGCTGCCTTATTTCAGTTATAGCGAATATGAGAAAAAATGAGAAATCAGTCTCATGACACATAAAATAATAGGTATATTGCATTTCATACCTTTATCTTTCCACACATTGAACTAACAGCTTATTCTTTGTTCTACTGTGAGTATAGAATGTTTGCTAAGAAACTTCAGCTAGGATATTTCTATTTCAGATTTTCAGCTTATATCGGAGAGTTTATCTTCATTATCAATTTCACTATAAAAATTTATTAATTTACGAATCAAGCAATACCTGTGAAAACAACCATTTGCACGACTTAAACACTTTCATTTGCAAGTAAGTTTGCTTGATATTAATAGATGCAATCTGCAATGAAGGGAAGAAAACGAAAAATATTGTTGAGTGACACGCTAGTTTTACTTCTATTTTAATGTCCCATTACAAGATGGCAGATACATGGGCAAATCGTAAGAGATGCAAAAAGACATTTTTTTTAAACAAGATCTTTCAGTAGGTGTGAGTGTGATTATGGATGAGAAAGAAGCCATTAATATTCCAGACACACCCATACGCTTATTCGAGAATTCTTCGGAAGAAATACACAAAATTGCCCCGAATGTTTAATTTTATAGCTTACCTTAGAAAATTAATCACAGCAGCAGCTATCTATATATATATAATGTTCAATGTCTCTCTGCCTGTCTGCGTCAGGTTAAAGATTAAAAATCAAAGGTCAAAGGTTAACGGTTAAGACATCGAGAATTTTCTAGAATGTTCAAAAATGATGTGTACTTCTACAAGTTTCCAGAATGTTCTTGAACTTTCTGGAACATTTACGAAGGATTCTACGGTTGTGTAAGAAGTTGGCTTAGAGATTAAAGGTTGAGATTAGTAGAAGGTTCGAGAATATTCACTGAGCTTAGATCATGACTCGTGAATGGTGAAAGGTCAGTTCAAAAAAATTTCTGGAAGATTCTCCAGTCGGATTCCTACTTGGGGCGTTACTATCAATGTAATCTTTGTAGAAAATAACGTTGATTGTAGTGCTTCCAATTGCCGCCCTCGATTATCAAAGGGTATAAATAGATCCATCGAAGTTGTAGCAAATCATTTTTCGAATATCAACGATGACCGATACATCAAACTATTGAATTATGGATATCGAATGTGATAAGTCAATACCAATAGCACTTGACCACGAAAATAACTCGCATTTAGATGACAGTGTAAAACAATCTCCAGTCGCAACGTCACATGAAAATCCAAACGTAAGAGCCTTCAGAAAATCCGGGAGAATTCGACAACGACGTGCACAAGAAAGTGAAGAGGCTAGAAAGGAACGACAACAGAATGCAAGACGAGCGAAAAGACGAAAAGAACAAGAAACGGGTGATGAACGACACGAACGACAAGTAAAAGATACAATTCTTCATCAACATTGTTGACAACGAAGCTCATCTTTCTATGCAGCTGTACTTCATGATGAATTTCTATCAGAAAGTTATCATGGTAAAATGGGCAAGGTGTGTTGCCAGTGCAACGCCCTTCACTTCAAGGATGAGTGTGCTTCCGATAGACAGGATGAATTCAAACACTGTTATCACTATGAATATATTTAACTTCTAGAGCTTCTCCCATACCCAGATGAAGTCAAACCTCTTCTCAAAGGAACTGATGTCAACTCAAGAAATTTCCGCGAAAATATCCGATGTTACAATAACGCTCTAGCATTTGCATCGATGGGAGCTCAGATTGATTTACCACAATGTTATGGACCCAATTGTTTCTGTATTCATGAACAGATCTATCATCGAGTCGGTACACTTCATCCTGAAACTGACTAGAGAGCATAGTTCGGACAACTTTACATTTCGGACTCATCTTTGGTATTAAAAGAACGAATGGGAAATATTGCCAATGAAAATTGCAATGAAACGATGATGAGGAAACTCGGCGATATGATGAAGAGCATTAGTCCTTTTACTGCTGCCTCAAGATGATTCACGAAGTGGAAGAAGACGAAATTGATCAAGCTAAGAAAGAAAAACGAGCACTACCTCCACTTCGAATGATTTTTGACATTGACCATCGAATTCATGATCGACGACTCTACAATCTCCCAACAGTAAATGAAGTCGCTGCAATCTTTGTTGGTCAAGATAATGAAGTTCCAACGCATCAAAATATTACTATTCATCCACGTGACAAAGATCTTCAAACTATTTCAATCTTACACCTTCACTGTGATCCAATGTTTTATCCACTATTATTTCCACGTGGAGATGAAGGATGGCATCGGGACTTAGAAAAAACTGATCGATCACGAAATTGGACAAGAGTATCAATGCTCCAATTTTACAGTTATCGATTGGCTATTCGTCAAACCTTCAGTGCTAATCATTATGCAGGAAAATTATTTCAACAATATATTGTCGATGCCTATGTTAAAAATGAACAATGTCGCATTGCATTTCACTGACAAAATCAAAAGACCCCTCAATTAGAATTGTACTAACGTCTAATGGATCATTTAACAAATGAAGCAGTAATAGAAGGGCTAAAGCTTGGACGAGTCATTATACTTCCATCAAGTCTTCAAGGAGGTCGTAGAACAATGAAACAATATTATCAAGATGCAATGGGAATCGTCCGAAAATATGGCAAACCAGACTTATTCATCACAATTACATGTGATCCAACATGAAGAGAAATTGAAGAACATCTATTTCTTGACCAAGTTCCGTCGGATAGACCTGGTCTAATTACCAGAGTATTTAAACTCAAACTTGATGAACTTATTGATGATCTCTTCAAGAAGTATATATTAGGGAGAAAGATAGCGCATGTCTTCGTAATTGAATTACAAAAGTGTGGCTTACCAAGTTGCCACATGCTTAGTATTCTGGACAGCGAAGACAAAGTAAAAGATGACAATTATATTAATAGAATAGTGTGCAGTGAAATACCAGATGCAGCCCGATTCTCACAATTATATGAATGTGTAAGGAGACATATGATTCAGGGACCATGTGGAACATTAAATCCACACTCTTCTTGCATGGAAGAGAATGGCTATCCGCGATATCGTCGAAGACATAATGGAATTACAATGACAAGTGGCAAGTATGAAGTTAATAATCAGTGGATAGTCCCTTATAATCCATACTTATTAATGAAATATAATGCTCATATTAAAGTGGAAATTTGTGCAACTGTCGAAAATATTAAATATTTATTTAAATACATTTACAAGGAACATGATTGTGCTAACATTAAATTGGAACGATCAATTCAAGAAGGTGCTGATATCGCCCAAGAAACTTTAGAATGCGATGAAATTGAAGCACATCTTTATGCAAGATATGTCAGTGCGCCTGAATCTGCATGGAGACTTTTTGAATTTCCATTACATGACAAGTCTCATGCAATTATCCGATTAGCTGTTCATCTTTCAAATCAGAAGCCGGTTTATTTCGCTGAAGGAAAGGAACGACAAGTCTTGGAAAAAGCTGCCTCAAGAGACACCACACTTATTGCATGGTTTAAATTAAATTCAAAAGATCAAGATGCTCGACAATATCTATACCATGATATTCCACATCACTATGTTTTTGAACACAATGGAACATGAAAACGTCGATTACAAGCTGAAAATGTCATCGGTAGAATGTATTCAGTCAATCCAAGCGATGTAGAACGTTATCATCTCCGATTATTACTATTGCATATTCCTGGTGCCTGCAGTTTTGATGATCTTTAAAACAGTAGATCGTCAAGTCTGTCAAACATTTATGGAAGCTGCTAGACAACAAGGTCTATTACGTGATGATGCTGAATATGAAAGATGTATGGCTGAAGCAGTATTCTTTCATATGCCACAACAGCTAAGAATACTATTTTGTGTGATACTCCTATATTGTAACCCAAAAAAATCAATAGATCTCTGGAGTTCATTTAAGAGACATATGGCTGAAGACTTCATGCAACATGCTGACGCTAAAACAGGAGAAGCAATGACATTCTATGCAATTGAAGAAAAGCTGGAAGAAAAAGGTCGAAGATCTAGTGATTTTGGTATACCATCACCAACATCCGTTCCTTATACATTCGGATCAAAAATTATTAACGAGGAAGAAGAGCTTCGGATAGGATAAGAAATGTATTCAATGTTGAATCAAGATCAACGTTCAGTAGCCGATGAAGTTCTTGCAGCTTATCATAACCAATCAACTACTGACTCATGTTTCTTCGTATGGTCTGTACGTACAGGGAAAACCTGCCTGAAGGAAGAACAGTGCACAGTCGTTTCAAGCTTCCAGTACCTATCCTAGAAACATCTACATCCAATATTCGACCACACAGCAAGGAAGCTGAAGGAATTAAAAAAGCAAAAGTCTTTATTTGGAATGAAGCATTAATGGCTCCATCATATGCTCTAAAGGTAGTTGATATCTTACTAAGAGATATAATGAACATTAATCTGCGTTTTGGAGGAAAAATTATGGTACTCGATGGTGATTTTCGTCAATTCTTACCAGTTATTTGATTCGCAAATAGATCGGAGTTGATTGCAGCAAGTCTCAAAAGTTCTGATCTCTGGTCTGATTTCAAGGTCATGCATCTTAACCAGAACATGAGAACAGGACCAGGTGAAGAAGAAATAATATAACATAAGTGTGGATGACGTAGAATGCGAAGATGGTGATGATGTGGCCAACTATCCCATGGAATTTTTGAATAGCCTCACACCATCAGGAATGCCCTCTCATAAACTTAAATTAAAGATTGGTGCAATTGTAATGCTTCTTCACAACATCGACGTAAAACAAGGTTTATGCAATGAAATTTGACTCATCGTGCGACGCTTACAAAACCACACGATTGATTGTGAAGTCGCAACGGGATCTAATAAGAGCAGCCGAGTTATAATATCCAGAATTACAATGACATCATCTGATACATTTTGCCTTTTAAATTACGCAGGCATCAGTTCCCTATTGGACTTTCATTTGCTATGACAAGAAATAAATCACAAGGACAAACATTTGAACGATTAGGACTAATTCTACCACAACTAGTATTCAGCCATGGGCAATTATACGTTGCTTTTTCCAGAGTTCGCTCCCTAACATCTATCAAGATGCAACTCATCAACGACAAGAGCAGTGAAAATAATAGAACTAGAAACATTGTTTAAAAAAAAATGAAAATTTAGTAAATAAGCTGTTTTATAGAACAGTAATAAAGATTTGGATTGTATCCCTGAAAACTCCTTATCCTCATAAAAAAACTTTCTTCATTGATAGAATAAAGACCATGCAGTATTCACGGATTCTCGCTAGTTGAAAAAAATGAGCTGTTAGAGCAACCTATAACAGAATGAAAAATTTGAAACGTACTTTACTTTTTGCTATCAAATCTAGCCCAACTTAAACTTCAGGTTCGACTAGGTTTGCGTTTGCATTTGACAGGGTTTGTTCATGTTTGATGCTTGGACTTGACTCGAACTGGGTTTGTTTTGTCTCATATAGTAATCCTAGATTTTGTATGTAAAACCCTGTCAAACCCATTAAACATTTGTATGAGTTTTATACAGTATTTTTCTTTATTTTTTCCACGTTTCCATCTAATATCGTCAAACCTCGACACTCTTAAATATTAGACGAAATTTAATGGCAATATCGGATGGAGCGAAAAAAATGTATACAATTGACACAAATGCTTGATCAGGTTTGACGGATTTTGAGAAAGAAAGTCTAGAACATTTAAGTGAGATGCATCAAACCGAAATAAAGACAAGCCTACTCAAAAAATCCAAACATCAAACATCGTCAAAATTTATTAAATCAAAATCAATTTTCGTCAAATTTAACAAAAAATTGAGTTTGAGTTTGATGTATTCCTCACCGAATCTCCGACGCATTCTCTATTATATTCATTTAGAATGCACTTTATTTTTCATGAATGAAACGCAGGTAAAGTCAAAATACAACTACTTTAAGGTTTTCTTTTAGAGGCCTCTTATAGAGGAGTTGCGATCATTATTTTGATTGAACTTATCAGTGTAAGACTCACCTAAAAAAATGTCTACCATAAGTTCTATTTGCTTTTGAGTCAGTGTGCCAAGGTTTATCCCGGTTTTGGATTATGCCTGTAACGATCTCTGGTAATAGCCAAAGGCTGTCTGTGGTGGTCTCTAACAGCCTCTAAAGATTGTTTGTCACAATCTGTAATAGGTTCGAAACTGGCGCTAACGGTTTGTAGTGGTCACGTAGCTTTCTGTATTCATTTACATTGGTAAACAGGTGCCTGTGACGGTTTGTGGGAGTGGCTTGAGGAGACAATGTATGGAAATTTCTATGCTTGACACTTCAGTACTTCTTTTAGATGGTATGTCGCTAAAACTACTTTGCACTTATAAAACCTAATGCATGAAAACTACATTCAACAACGCGCTGTTGTTGGTTCCAATGATTGTCTAGCGCGAACTCTAGCAATACTTACTTCCATTCTCAATTCTGACATCTAATTTAAGTCAATCATATGAAAATAACACCCGTTTGTTCAACTCGCTTACACATCAAATAATACTTCAGAAACTCTACATAAATTACAGTTCGAGAGCAATATTCATAGATCTTAAGAAAAGGGGATGCCTTCAATACGTAAAGAAAATTTATAGAGAAAACATATCCGTAATACAAGTATGAAAATGTATTATGTCTGCAAATGATTCTAATAAAAATTCGTGTAGGGAACAACAAATGGAAACATCATTTGTTTGTTTTTGCCATAGAAGTGTGTCTTTAACGTAGCTTTTAGATAAAAGTAAGCCATACTTGGCTAGACTAATCATTTTTATATGGTACTTAAGCTTAAGTGAGGCTTGTTCTCTAATGTATCAACGATTGAACAGTTGATTGTAAGTAAGCGAAGAAATTTCGACAATTCAGCGTATAGAAAAACTCATGTGTTTCTATTCAAATCTATATCAAGTGAACTCATGTAAATATATTTAACACAACTGTTCTCACAATCCATTCCAAGATACTTGTTTACTGTTTTGCTAGCTATCATTTACTTTTTAAAAACCAGTTAGATGTAAATACTAGACATTTTCTTGATAGACTTGACGCTTCTGAAGCCTTTCTTCAAGACATTTCGAACCTAACAGCTGTCTCGAATAATTGTCTTCGGTTATTAATTCCTGCTCTATGATTTCAATGCCACTGGATTCTAGATCGTGTTGGCACTCGAAAGCTTCAATAGTGGTTAGAATTATAACATGAGAGCACCTGATGTGAAATTTCGAAGCCTAGGTTTTCTTTTGAACTATTTCTCATGCTTTTAATTGCTTTTCTTAACTAACGTATGCGAGGCCTAATGGAATTCCTCATCAAGTGATTCTTATGCAAGACAGCAAAACAGTCATAAGAGCCACTATAGTCAGTTATTGATGCAATTCAGTGACATTTGCTCTTTTATGTAAAAGCACCTCAGTAATGACTAGCTATACTTCTTTTACTATCATATATGTTAAATGTAAAACTTCGTTTTAATCGAAATCTCGAATTTCAACTTTGAAGTTGCAACATTCAAATTTGTTATTCGGAGTCTCTCACTTTATTAACAGCTCTCTTCTTGATCATAAATTAAGTGACGTTCTAACCTTGACATATGATTCTGGCAAAGTTCTTTTCTTTTATCCCAGTGGAAACTAATGGTCGTCTACTTAAAAGACCGTTTATTGAAATGTTAATACTACAGTATAAGTATTCTTCAGACAGTAGAATAACTCTTGGAAAAGCCTCGCAGTCCCTCAACTAGTGATTTGGAGTGAGTATACAATTCTGAACCTACGGTGACCCTCAGAGGTCCCTTCCCAGCACCCTCATTTGGCACGCTAATGTGTCCGTTGCATTCTTTTTATTTAGTAAGCCCTGAAAGTCCTTTTGTAGCACTCTCAGCTGGAGATAGTTGTCTTTGCCTCTGAGACGACTCAAACGTGGATGCGGTCTCAGCGTAAACCTTAAGAAGTTATGCTTTTATCTTTTATTTTATCGTAGGTTACAGAGATCTTTCTCACTACCGACAATTTTTTTTAAAGTGTAGCTCGAAGTTTTAAAAAAGGAACTTGAAAATTGAAAATTGAAATTTCTAGTAAATTCAAGTTTCAAGGGTATGGGTGTGTGGGTGTGGCTGTGGGGTGTGGGTGGGAGTGGGTGTGAATGCACCCTAGCTCAACCACACGCACACCCGCACCCTTGGTTGATTCTGGAAGAGAAATTCGGAGGGACTTTTCATGAAAAAGAAGGAGATTTGCAAGATTGTTTTCTGGGAAATTGTTTTATTATAAGGGAGGGAACTAATCTGGAGAAGACGATTTCGCTGTTTTATTTGTCGTCTTTGCACATGTCGTTGAGATATAATCTCTAATGAAGTTCAAAAGGGTCATATACTGCTTTTATCAAAACAATTGATGATTTCTCATTTCAACATTAGTACAGTCAGATATTGATATAGTATCATGTAAATCAGTCAGGAACACTGTCTTTTACTTCATGAGTTTTTTTGTATGCACTACTGATCAAAAGGATAGTGAAGATTATTTACAATGAATCAAAGATGAAAATGATATTGTCTTGAATTTTAAAAGGAGTAATATTGTTTAATTTCAGTTAAAGAAATTGTTTCTTAGGTTAAGTTTTGTCATGGTCGTCATTCGACAAATCGTCGGACACATGAAATTTATTTATGTGTACATTGCATTGTACGTCAACAACGATTCTATTTATCGTTTCTCTTTACTCTTATATCGACAGAAGTCAAACAATGCGACCGAGAAATACCCAGTTTGATGAAGACGGACGGAAATAATTTTTTTCTGAATGTTTCAAGAAAAAACGCGTATACTTTTCTTTGAGTCTTTTGTTCTTCTATTTGCCCAAAAGGAAATAAAAATCTATGATGAAGAATAGAAAATTCTTTCTTAGAATATTATCCTTGTTCTTTTAACAGTGTCAACACAGGCGTTTGACGGCCTTACCAACATTTATTATTCAAGGGTAATGTTGGAAGTCAGGTAATAGAATTGTCGTAGAACTATTTATATCGAAAAAAACTTAGCATCTGCAGAGGTACTAAGCTTAAACATTTAAAAAGTTAAGAAAAAAAACCACAGTGAATCAATATAGATTACGATCTAGAATTGTTTTCCTTGTAAGTATGAAGTTGAATTGTGTTACATATTCTAGATTACAAAGCGACTATAGTAAAACATCAAACAATAACTGAGACAACAAGTCATCAACATGGAGACAAACGAGCAACCAACGATTATCCGGAGACGTGATTCAACTACTTCTGTAAGTCATCATGAATAGAGTCACAACGACTCAAAAATTTCTTTCACTTTAGACTATTAGTTTGTGGGATAAATTGCCTGAAGTAAACTCTACGTTCGCTGATATTGCCAATGAAGACGATTTACTTGATGAAAATGATGATAGTGACAATGATTTTGAAAATTCAAACGATATAAATACTTTTTCCAGATCTTTACATGAACGTTCTGCATCAAATCCCAATCTTCAAAGTACACAGCACACTACTCATCTGTGGATTTCTGAAGAGTATAATCAAGTTAAACTGATCGTGCATGAAATGCATGCTGACAATGCTAAAAAAGAGCTCGAAAGCCATTTATCAAGTCGAGGTAATCGATGGATAGCGAATGCAGACGAACATTTTCGTTCATGGCATTTTGGTCTATCATTCATATGTTTTCAACTGGAACGTTCACGTTCGATTGATATAATGAGACTTGTATCTGTCCGACATTTTCCTTTTTGGCTCAGGTTTACAAATGGTATACAATGTCAAAGACGTATTAAATCAAAATCTGAAGGCATTAAACGAATTCATTATGGATGTTCACCATCTTATCGTGCTTCCCTTCGCTATGGCGCATTGACTAAAATGAACGAATTCCAGTATTCGTGGGAACATTCATGGTCAAATCAGCCAAAATCGGGATGGTCACTCCATATAAACAATGATTATTCGAGTGGATCTGTCGAATGGATAATGGAAAGATCGCAAGAACGTAGCAAAAAAAAACTATTGGCAATGAATATTGATCATGCCGTCATTATTCATTTGTTACCAGACGGATTTGCAATGTATATTTGTCAGACATGTAATATGAATGAATTTAGTGCCAGGGAAAAAACCAACAATGTCGTTAGAAAACAGCCTTTTCCTTTGACTCCTCATCACGATAGGGGTCCATTGAGACCATCATTTACAGATAATCAATCTTCACGAAGACCTAAGTATGAAAAATATAAACGTTCCAGTGTGCAGAATGGAGTCTATTTTTCGACTGTTCAATTCGAGCTTCGTATCGATCCAGATCATTTAACGAATGAAAACGCTCAAAATACAGTTCGTCAAACGTATAAACTACTCACTGAATTTTTCAGTTCACGTAATATCACTATTTGTCATGCTGAAATTAACGCATTGCAAGGTCCAGAAGTCAATCCATTTCCTACTCTCAGATTGCCGACTCTTATCATGAAATATGCATGGCAAATGCTCATAAATATTGGCTATCGTTTACAAATTCAAATAGACCAACAATTTTGTAATAATCTATGTCAATTAAGTAGAGAAAAAGATAATGCTGATGATTTATTTTATCGTGTCTGTGTTTATCTTTCGCGTTTATTTGCACTTGAACCTTTTGTCAATTTATCGGATAAATTACATGATGCTGTAACTGAATCGAAACGTAAAAGAGATGATAGTGCTTTTGGATTGATCAGTAGTTTGGATGTACAGAGCAATACCGAAACCTACGTACCATCGATAACATTAACACCAACAGCTTTCCGAATAAAACCACTGAAATTGTGTCGAACGAATCGGGTTCTTCGAGAAAAACAAGAATTTGGTAAAGCATTGGAAAATTTTGCCCTTGTCGAAATTCGTGATGAAAATGGTCGACCATTACAGTCATTTCATTTTCGAGATTTACATCGTTTCTTTTTGGAATATATGCAAAAAGGTTTTACTTTAATGGATAGTAATCGATGTTATCAATACTTGCATCACTCAAAATCACAATTACGTGCCAGTCAATTTTGGTTTTATCATCATGAACCAGGATTAAATCGATCATTGGAAGAAGCTTATAAATGGATGGGCACATTTGACACAAAAGGAAATGTTGCAAAATGCGCTACTCGTATAGCTCTATGTTTTTCAACAACCACTCCTACTATTAATGTAAGACTATGTATATTTTATTAGCATATTGTTAATTATCATCAATATTTCAATCATGTTATTTAGATCGATAAGAAAAATGTTCACTACATTCCTGACATCAAAACAAAGGATGGTAAATTGACATTCACTGATGGATGTGGTACTATGTCAGAACAATTACGAAATGATGTAAGCTTATAAGGATAAGTGTGTTGAAAATTCTATTTTTCTTTCTTGTAGATTCAGAAAGCACTTGGCAAACGATGCTTCAGTGCTGTGCAATTCCGATATGCAGGTTTTAAAGGTGTTGTCAGTGTCGAGCCACATCTGGGATCAGGTTATCATCTATGTATTTGTGATAGTATGATTAAATTCGAGAGTGAACATCAATGCTTCGAAGTATGTAAAATTTCTGCACCTCGATCACTTTATCTTAATCGGCAAGTCATTCTTCTTTTATCGTATCGACAAATACCTGATGCTAATTTTCTTATTCTTCAACAACGAAATCATTTGAGCCTTATTCAGGCTTTGTTAAGAAACGATTATGCTAGAAATTTACTTGACGAAAAATTACCATACTGGTTTTTGCCTAATGGTGCAGAAATTGACTTTGTTCGCGAACCATTCTTTCGACAACTAGTTATAGCTGCGTGTCTTAATTCAGTACAAGATCTACTTCGGCGAACACGTATTCGTGTTCCACGCAATAAAGCTAGAAATATGTTTGGTATTATAGATGAGTATAATGTGTTAAAACCGGATGAAGTTTTTATTCAATACACTCAACTTAATGATCGTGACAATAAAGATGGGAGTGGCATATATCAAAAAACAAGTATTATTGACAATTGTAAGGTTGTTATCACAAAAAATCCTTGTCATCATCCGGGTGGCATTCGAACATTTACTGCTGTCAAGCATGAAGTATTGAAACATCTTAAAGATGTCATTGTCTTTTCACAGCAAGGCGACTGTCCAGCACCTCATCAGATCAGTGGATCTGACCTCGACGGTGATGAATATGCAGTGATATGGCATGAAGATCTTGTTCCAACTCAAAGTCATAATGCTGTACCATATGATTATGATTCGCAGAACATATTGCAAGTACTCTCACGATCCATTCACCGTGAAGACATTATGGATATTGTATTGAAAATAACTGAGAGTGATTATTTAGGACGATTAGCTAATTTAGAGTTGGCATATGT